TCTGATGGTGGTGCTTTTCCTGCTCCTGCATATATTGTATGGATATACCAGTGGTAGAATATGTGTCTTGTGTTTGACAGAGCAGATTCCACAGAACAGGATCAGGGCCTACATGGTCCTTTGCATATCACTAAATTGGAAAATTGGGCAAGAAAGGTTATCAAAGTGTCTCTGTTGGTAAAATCAATACCTGGAAAAAAAGGGATCCCTGCAAAATGTTGATTTTATGTTCCCTATGATACTGTTGTGTTCTTTAGTGACCAGTGGTCAGTTGGAGGAACCACTGAGCACAAGAGAGGACCTGGAAACTGACACGCTTGAAAGATTTGTGTGGGTGCTCACCCACTCTTGGGATCTAGACAGTATGGTGAACTAATTTTTACCCTCTGCAGTTAAACAATACCGTTTGGTCAGTAGAGCACTCAAGCAGGTGATTGGACAATAAATGGGCAGAAGAACATAGATGAGGTCATCCCTTTGCTCTGCTCTGTACGCATATATAGGAAGGGAGAATGGAAATGCTGTGCAAACAATGAGAACCCTGAATGGCTGTCTCTACTTCCACCCCACAGTTGTGTTAAGCTGGCAATGGATGGAACCAGCAAAGATTCAATCCATCTATGGAAAGGCTGGTTATCTTGAAGATGATCCATTGATCAACTTCAGTACAACCAGGCTGTTGTTTTTTTTTAAATTCACTGCTGCCAGTGGCAATAACGACTAGCAGTAAACATCATGTTCTGCCGGCAGGAAATGCTTCCCACCAGCAGAATACAATTGCTCCACGGGAGGGATTCCCCATCAACACTGGCTTTGTTGATGGGGAAATTGAGCAATTTTCTAACCGTCCACCTGTGATGGAAGGAAAGAAAATCATATTATCCATTGCCTGCTTTAAGCTGGCCATAGACGGTTCAAATCCTGCTGAACCGGCCAAGATCTGACCCATGTATGGGGAGGCTGAATGTACCCAAGTGATCAATCAATCAACTTACAAACAGCCTGCTGGATTTTACATGCGGTTATCACTAGCCACTAGCAATAATCGCTATCTTCTCCCAGCAGATGCCCCCCCCCCCAGCCAGGAGAACACAATGGCTGTGTTGATGGGAGAATCAAGGAAAAAAAATTGTACCATCTATGGCCTGCCTTAGTACAAACCCTTATTATCTGTGAACAATATAACTTGCCAGTGGAGTACATAACCTACAAGCCACCAGGATTTGTGTGACTGTACTGTAACATGCACCCCTCCCCCACACACACATCCCTATTAAGGATCAGCGGAATCATTTTGGCTAAATTGTATTCTTAGCGAAAATACAGATTTTGCCATAGGCAAATTTTTCTCAGAAGCGGAAAATCTCAATTTCACTCATTGAGCTGTTTAGGTGAAATTTGATTAAAAAAGGAAGATGTCTATATTTTTTTATTTAGCATGGGATTTTTTTCTTGAGGGGGGGGGGGTGGCACATATTTGAACAGGATTGTTTACTATTTCTACTGTTCTTTGTACTCGGATACATACGTCTAATTGAATTGGGTACATGTAAAATACACAGGCAAAGTGGATGGACTTTAAGTATAGACTTTAACCCCGTCTTCCTGTCCAGCCCATGTTTAAGTAAACGGTCCCCAAAAACGGGGGAGTGTTGTCGATGCGGGGGGACATTTCTAAACGTCCCCCCGCATCCATTGCCTGTGTGCTCTCCCCGGGAGCGCGCGGCACAGCAGAACACCAATTGGTGTACGGGACCTCTGTGTGATTTGGACATGTTCACCTTTGGAACATGTAACATATTCCAGCTCCTGCCTCCGCTCCTCAAGACCCGTCCCTGTGACGGCGGTCGGGGGATATTCTCACTGCTCCCGCTGTCATAATTTAAAAACCGCATAGCCGTCCAGGGCTCCGCTCACAGAGTCATGTCATCCATTCACAGAGTTCCATGAATGAATGAACTGCAACTACCGGTGGGGCCGTCGCAGCAGACAGCTTGTAGTTCTCAATGAACTGTGAGGGTGCTGGTGAGAGCTCTTGTAGTTTATTGATTTTTGTCTGCTATCAGGGCTGCTGTTAGAAACCACGGGGCCCCATACAGAAAACCTGGCAGGGTCCTCCCTCCACCTAGAGGAAACACAGTTTACTATGCTTCAGTTATGAATGAACACAGTGAGTAATTGGTACCAGTCACTTATCGTGTTCATCATCCTGAAGGATCCCATTGTGTGCCTGCAGTTACCGGTGGGAGGGAGAGGAGAGAACCCAGGAGTGCTGGGGGGGGGGGCACACACAGAGGGGCCTGAGCAACATGGGGAGCGGTATGCTACACAGGGAGGATGATGGGTGCAATGGAGGGGCAATCACTGGAATCGATCCCCTGCATGTTTCTTTCTGCAGCAGCTGAACGCCAACGGGAGGGAGAGGTGGAGGAGAAGCCAGTCTTCAGCTGCTGCAGAGACAGCCATACAGGGGATCTGTTCCAGTAATTGCACTCCCACCATGCTGATCACCCTCCCTATGCACATCAGATTTGCCCAGCTTCCTGGGCCCCCCCTGCTGGCCTGGGCCCCATACAGGAGCATTGGTGGTACCCCCTTATCCACAGCAATACAGTAACCATGCAAAGTATGAGCAGACATTGTATGGAGGGTGTGCAGGAGCCTGGCATTGCACCTGATTTACAGGTTGCTTTACAGAGTGCAATGCTTTACAGGCTCCAGTAAAGCACTTTTTGTGAATAAAAAAACAATCCCCTCTGGGTGATCCATGTGCATTGCAGGGATTTTAACAAATTTTGCAGCGGATTCCTACCCGTTGTTAACGTGAAGAAATAGCTGTTTGTTTCACCAGACTGATTCTGAATGGGAGGCTCTAGGTCGTTATAATCACCTGGTGCACCTTCAGTATTCTGATGAGAAAAGTTGCAGGGTCTGCTTCCCATTAGAACTATTTAAAAGATGAGTTCACCTTTTGGACAAAAAATAATAAATGCACATTTTTTTGCAGGTAAAAAAATGTGCATTTATTATTTTTGTCCAAAGAATCCTAGAAAGCATTGCTCCAGCGTTCAGCAGATCACTGATGTCATGCAGGTTTCCTGCAGACCTGTCAGAATATCTGCTTACCATATGGAATGTACGGTCAGGGAGATATACTGACAGGAAGATTCAATGAACTACCACGGGGCCCCACAACGCCATAGTAGTTCATTGAAGACTACAAGCTGACACCCACTAAGGCTACCGGGACTTGTAGGCACTCATTCACAGAACTCTGTGAATGAGTGACGCAGCCGTGTGGGCGGAGCCCTCCACAAACTCGCTGTTTTCAAATCTGACAGATAGTACGGGGAAACTTCTCCCCGTGCTATTTGTCGGGGGGCAGTGGGCGCTGCTGCGGCTATGGGCACATGTTACAGCCCAAAAAACAGCTGGAACATGTAACATGTTCCCAAAGGTGAACGTATTCTTTAACCTTTGGGGGGTATCTCACCAAAACCGAAATTCTAATTGCATGGGAGCTTACATTTTGACTTGTATCTAAGGGGGAGATTTACTAAAACTGGTGACATCTCTGGAGGTGTTCTGGATACCTGTCCCTTGGTTGTATTGAATTTTACAGACAATTACAGCAGCTGCAAATTCAAATGGAAATATAATTTTTAATAACCTGAAATTACAATTTATTGGAATGCAGCAATGGTAAGGTTAAAAGTTGCAGGGTCTGCATCCCTTTAGAAGCATTGAACCCTTGGGGAGAATCACACCAAAACTGAAATTCCTATTGCAGGGGAGCTTACTACTTGTATTTGAGAGGGAGATTTACTAAAACTGGAGCACTCAGAATTTGGTGCAGTTGTGCATGGCAGCCAATCAGCTTCTAACTTCCGCTTGTTCAATTAAACTTTGGCAAAAAAAACCTGGAAGCTGATTGGTTTTTACATAGAGCTGCACCAGATTTTGCACTCTCCGGTTTTAGTAAATATCCCCTCTACACCCCGTTCACATTGGTGCGACTTGAAAATTGCATGCCAAGTCGCACCCTATTGTCTGCAATTGGAGCGGTCATATTGGTGCGGGTCCGACTTGGTTGGAGCCGCACCGATTTCTAAAGTAGTGCATGCACTACTTTTGGTGTGATTTGCATAGACATTTGTATCAGATGTCTTGCACATCGCACCTGAAATCGGTGGGACCCCCGACTTTGAAATCGTGCGACTTCATACCCCTTATTTTATGTTAAGGGGTACTCTGATGGGCACATTTATATTAAGGGGCACTCTGATGGGCACATTCTATGTTAAGGGGCACTCTGATGGGCACATTCTATGTTAAGCAACACTCTGATGGGCACATTCTATGTTAAGGGCCACTCTGATGGGCACATTCTATGTTAAGGGCCACTCTGATGGGCACATTCTATGTTAAGGGCCAATCTGATGGGCACATTCTATGTTAAGCAACACTCATGGGCACATTCTATGTTAAGGGGTACTCTGATGGGCACATTCTATGTTAAGGGGTACTCTGATGGGCACATTCTATGTTAAGGGGTACTCTGGGCACATTCTATGTTAAGGGCAACACTCTGATGGGCAATTTCTATGTTAAGCAACACTCTGATGGGCACATTCTATGTTAAGGGCCACTCTGAACATCTATGTTAAGGGCCACTCTGATGGGCATTCATTCTATGTTAAGGGCAATCTGATGGGCACTCTATGTTAAGCAACACTCATGGGCACATTCTATGTTAAGGGGTACTCTGATGGGCACATTCTATGTTAAGGGGTACTCTGATGGGCACATTCTATGTTAAGGGGTACTCTGATAGGCACATTCTATGTTAAGCAACACTCTGATGGGCAATTTCTATGTTAAGCAACACTCTGATGGGCAATTTCTATGTTAAGCAACACTCTGATGGGCACATTTAAACTAAGGGGCACTCTGATGGGCACATTCTATGTTAAGGGATACTCTGATGGGCACATTTATATTAAGGGGCACTCTGATGGGCACATTCTATGTTAAGGGGCACTCTGATGGGCACATTCTATGATAAGGGGCACTCTGATGGGCACATTCTATGTTAAGCAACACTCTGATGGGCACATTTATATTAAGGGGCACTCTGATGGGCACATTTATATTAAGGGGCACTCTGATGGGCACATTTATATTAAGGGGCACTCTGATGGGCACATTTTATGTTAAGGGGGAACAAATGGGCACATACTGTGGAAAGGGGCTCTCTGATGGGCACATGTGATGGAAAGGAGCACTCTGATGGGGAATATGATGTAAAGGGGCACTCTGATGGGGAAATATGATAGAAAGGGGTACTGTGAGTATAATGGGGCACTCTGACGGGAATACCTGATATAAGGTGGCAATGTGATGGGGATACCTGATGTAATGGGGTACACTGTGATGGGGACAACTGATGTAAAGGAGCATTTTGATGGGCACACCTGATGTGACAGGAATACCTGATGTAAGGTGGCAATGTGATAGGGACAACTGATGTAAAGGAGCACTCTGATGGGGACAACTGATGTAAAGGAGCACTCTGATGGGGACAACTGATGTAAAGGAGCACTCTGATGGGGACAACTGATGTGATTAGAATACATGATGTAAAGGGGCACTCTGATGGGGACAACTGATGTGATGAGAATACATGATGTAAAGGGGCACTCTGATGGGCACACCCTATTTGGACCTCGGCCAGAAGAAAATTTTAGTGACCGGACCTCCTTGATTTGTAATTCAATACCCCTCGTCTACACCTATGGCAGGAGCGTGATTCAACTTTGGGCAGAGTTTTCACAGTTATCAGTACCGCAGCTTTTTGGTAAAGGTGAACTAACCCTTTAAAGTCATCACAGGTGCACTTCAATTCCATTTATCTGTTTCCAAAAACTACCAAAAAAAGCGCAATCAAGTCCCAGCCCAACTTCAGATTTCCTTCACTGTTTTAGTAACATTACAATTTTTTTTTTTTTTTAAATTAAATCTGTTTCCATAGAAACACAACGTGGCGCGATATCACCCAGATGGAAATGTGTAACATGGCTGCATAGCGTCGTCGCAATACCACTGTAATCGGGGGGATGTGCGCGATCTGCCTTTTCGTTAAGCCGCGGCTGAATGGCCTCCGCTATTAAAAATATCTTCTAAAAAGCCAACTCATTTCAGATCTTTTTTGGATGTTAAGGAGACGTTTGTCAGGATACTTTTCAGCAGAAAAAGTCCCCGCCTGGCAGATTATATGTGTTTTCTACTCCGGGAGAATGCGTTACGAGGCCCGTTTCCATGGCGATGTGTTCTTTCCTGGTATTCCCTGCAGAAAGTGTAGGAATCCCCCCCATCAAGCCAATCCCCCCCCCCCCCTCCTCCACCTTCAGCGTTCAAGCTCCCGTGCTATACATAGCATAACATGTTAGGAGAATAAAACAGAAAAAAAGCCTGTGGGGACATTGGAGGTAGAGCGAACGCAAAAGGGGTTTTCTGGCAGCTCGCTCCGTGAAGCCTTGCAATTTCAATTCGCTCTTCAAGTGGAAAGCAGAAGAAAAAAAACACGGCGGCTTAAAAAAAAAAAAAAAAAAAAAAAAACACGGCGGCTTAAAAAAAAAAAAAGAAAAACACAGTGGCTTAAAAAACAAAAACAAACCGCGGCTAAAAAAAAAATGATGGTGAATTATGCGCAGTCGCAGCCGGTTAACGTATGCAGTGAACCCTATAAGCAGGTTAAGCATTTGGGGAAATTACATGTGAAGGAATTGGGAGCGGTGGGGGGGGGGGGGGCTCCCCGGGGATCGCTCATGTTATCATTCAGTCAGATGGGCACAGGATGAAGGGTAGAGGTCTGCCATTGCCGGAATTCCCATTTTATTTAAAATATCGACTGAACATCGGGGAAGCAGGTGCAGCGTGAAATTATTACAGGGACAAGGTTTTGGCGCTGTTCAGGCTTAAAGGGGATTTCCACCCTTGGGGGGGGCTTTGAAGGAAAATCCAACGCGTATGAAACACGATCAGAACGTCGTAGAGCGGATGGGAAAAGGTTTCAGGTTTTTTTTTACGTTTGTGCAGCTGTTACTGAATAATCCACGGTGGAAAATCTGCAGTTTTGCTGGCTTCTGTTTAAAGTCAGAACTCCAGGCAAAGAGCTAAAAACATATACAGAATGAATACATACTGTATAAGCCAAAATCGCATCTGTTTGCGCACCCGCAACCACCCGCAGCCAAATCTACTGCTCTTAGGAGAGGGACGGGGCTGCCATTCATTCTGAACGGCACTGCAACTCAGTCCGCAACGCGGTTGCAGGTGCGGGAACCTCATGAAAATCGCATGGTCAAAAAAGACCATGTGATTTCACTGCTGCTGAGCCGCGTTTTTAAAAAGGTGCATGCATCTTTTTTTGCGGAAAACACAAGCACAGCATCCCAATAACTATACAATGATGAGCATTAAGCCCTGTATACACGATCCGTTTTGAGGGGTGTGCGGTAATCTGATTGTTAGTACACAGCAACCATCGGAAATTACTCGAAGGGACAAGCACGAAAAATGTTGTCATACAATACCAGATCGTAAGATTTTCATTTAACGTGTTAAACGCACAATAGTAAGATCAGTATTATATGCAGTAAAGCATGCTTCTTATACTCACTGTGGAACCTAAGGTGGTTAATCCTCTGCATTGTGTAAAAAGGTTGTTTGATCCTGACTTCTTTGATCCTCCACTTCTTCCAGTGTTCCCCTCTTATCTCCTGATAAGACTTATTGTGTGGAGTCATTCTGCACATGCTCAGTTGTGCATTGCTAGAGAGATGTTTTTTTTTTTCCTTGGTAGAGTGCATGTGATCAGCACAGGGCCAATCAGCACTGTCCAGACAGAGGTCAGGGGTTTTGCATCCTCCTAGAGCAGAAAGAAAACTCCTCCTACAAGCTTTAACATGCGCTCAGCTGGACACTGATAGAAGTCACAAGACTGCTATCTACTGCTGATGAGAAAATGTATTTAGCAGTTTATATTTACTAAAATAATTGCACTTCCATGTTGTGTGTACTGTGGGAGACCAGATATAGTGAGTGCAGAGTCCTGGGTTTAGTAACACTTTAACCGGTTCTTCCGAAAATACATTACAAATACATGACATCACTTCCAAATTTTTATGCTGTCATACGAGAATTTTCATAACTTTACTAACCTCTTCACTTTCGATATCAGACTAGCACGCAAAAAAAAAAAACGATGATCATTCGTTCGACATTCTCAACGTGTATATGGGGCTTTAAAGGACTGTGTCAGGTGGGCAGAGTAGGGACCCAATGTCATGACAAGGGTAGAATATACGCCTTCCAACCTAACCAAGCCTGCTAGGCCAACCCTCCACCATCCCAGCTATACAAAATACGCAAACAAGTTTGTGGCGTCAAAATGGCCATAGCAGCCTTTTATTAACCAATAAATTATTTTAACATAGATAACATAACATTCCAAATTATAAACAGATGAAAACGTGGTGGTCATTTGAGGGCCATAAACCCAGCTTCACTTTTGCAGAAAACATTCCTTCAAATTAGGCCCCCAGCCACAACCCACCGGCTCGGGGACAATCCTACTTATCCCCATCCGCAACACACCGGCTCAGGGACAATCCTGCTTATTCCCATCCGCAACACACCGGCTCGGGGACAATCCTACTTATCCCCATACGCAACACACCGGCTCGGGGATAACCCTACTTATCCGCAGTGACCACCATTTTACCTATTCCGAGTTAACTCCTTGTTAACTGGAATGTACCGAGGTCCCCAAACCACTGAAGGGTCCCGAATCTGTCTCCATACAGAATTCTTTACTCCTCCAAAGACCCAACCACCGCCAAGGCCACCGTGACAATCCAAACCAAAGCACGAAGGGGAGGGGGGGTGGGAAGCTTCTTCTTCCAAACTTCCCCCACTGGACTTCCTGTGGACAGACCCTCCTTTTCCTCCCTGGCAGACCCTCCCCAACATCCCCCATCCAACAAGATAAGCTTTAATCCCCAAAACCTCCTTCCTATGATTTAACCCTCTGTTGTCCATCTATTCCCCCTAGTCAAGTCGACCCTGCTCTTATTTTTTTTTTTTTTTTGCTCCGGGTCTACCTTTACCGGTGTCCTAGAAAGGTTAAGCGAAGCTGGTGGGTAATTAAAAAACATCTCTTGTGGGGCACAGGAGCACACTTATTATTGCTCTCCTGTGACCCATAACCAGTTGATAGCGGGCTATTGAAGTAGCAGAGTTGTTCCAGGCTTTGAAAGGGTTCCAACAATATTGTAGGGATCCACCAACCAACGTGATTGACAGCTGGCTCTGCCTCTCAGTGCTCAGCTGTGCCCGCCCCTCCCCAGCCTGGAGCTCCAGTGAGTGCTGGAGGGGGAGAGAGGACTGACCAAGCTGACCGAGAACTGAGTGATCAGTGGTCACGTGATTGCTCAGTTCCCCGTACTAGAGTTGTCATGAGAAAGCTGCAGCATAGCGGTGTGTATGTGTGTTTGTTTTTCGGTTAAGCCCACACTTCTCCTTTAATTATAACAGGATCAGTATCTGGTAATGGTATATTATAAAATAAATGTTTTCTGCTTGTACCTTGTCACCTGGCTTCTATATGGACTGAGAAGACGATATCCTCATTGAACAACCATTTCTCTCCATAGCTCAAAAGTCGTTATGTAACGGTCTATTATTGATTTAAGCTCGGCACTTTTTTTAAAAAAAGATGTATATTACTACACGAGGCTGGAAAAGTTCAAACCTAATAACTATAATACGGCTCAACGAGATATGGTGGGTGTTTAAAGAAGCAGATTAATGAGAGTCTGAAAAACAGGATTTCAGCAAACTTCTCCCACAACGTGCCAAGATGTGGAAAATACGTTTAAAGATGATTATTATACAGTGGAATGTTAAAGGGAGACGGCGGCTTATTTCAGCAAATCGAGTTATTGTTGTGACATTTGCCTGAAAGTAATTTATGGAGTAGGCTCTCCCATTTTCTATATGAACTTGTTAAAGAGAACCTGTAGCCGTGCCTATTTAGGCCTCTTAAAGTGTCACCATGCATCTTACAACCTGACCGTACGAACTCTATACAATCAATTTTAGATGAACAAAACGATGTAATATGAACACCTACCTAATCTGTTCAATCATTTGCATCCAATAAGACAACCCCCTGCACCACATAGTTGCTGGTAAATCTAAATGAGATTGTACAATCAGATTGCAGTGTGCTTTGTCAGCTTAAAGGGTAAGATAGCAAAAAAATTAAAAATTCTAATATAGCATATACAATTGCGACACAAGTCATATTGTAATATATGATATAAAATTGCTGTGCTAATCAAAAGTATATAATCATAAAGTCCAATGAATCAAAAAAAATTCCAATAAAATGTCCCAAGCGAAGTTCCCACAATCCACCATCAGCAAAACACCCGAATGGTTCAGCCTCTCACCAGAAATTCTGACCGAAACACACCGGTCAATATACGCAGCTCAGATGGGAGATGAATA